TACCCACAACAATGTTTAATTGATTTGTTGTGTAATTTTCAATCTGCATTATGTTGAAGGTAAAAAAGACATGTTGAAGGTACACTATCGCAACGCGAAAGTCAAATTTGTGTTGCGATTTTCTCGTTTCGATTGTTGCGATAGTCAAATTCGCAACGCGAAAGTAAAAATCCCGTTGCAATTATTGCGAAAGTCAATTTCGTAACGCGAAATTCAAATTCGCATTGCGATTTTTACGTTGCGAATTTGATTTTCACGTTGCATATTTGACTACATAAAATACAACTGAAAAAGATAAAAGACAACAATCTGATAAGTGATAATAATGAACAGATCATAGCAATGTTCAAACTCAAGTTATTAATGCATGTCTAACTGAAAATGTATGCATTCACACATAAAATACACATAATACAACGTTTGCATTTAAAAATCATCTAAGTTAATAAGTCCCAAAAGGTGAAGCCGGTTGTGATTGAGATTTTGATTTCCTTTTCCTTGGCACCATATGAGCTTTGGATTTTGATGAGGATCCATATTTTGGTATAGGAAAAGATGATTGTGATGGCACTGGTGATCCACAGGTCAACCTTGTATGACCACTTTCCTTGCACCGACTACATGTTAATATCCTCTTCTCTTCACCCTTAGACGGTATACGATCATGATTTTTTGATCGGCCAGGTAGCCTGCTATCCATGACTAGTGACAAAACTATTTGTAAGTCATCTGGTATGTCCCACTCAGAAGGATGTGGAATATGGTAGATAATCTCGACATAAGTCTGTCGATATACTTCTGTAGTGTAGCAATCCATAGCGTATGTGCTTGAATCATCTTGGTTTAGATGAAGATCAACTTTTATAACATGGCCATACGGATAACCAGATGTTTGTCATTTCATACAACTACACGTCTTTGCATTTAGATCGATAAGCCCATTTAAGTTATTATCCAATACTTCAAACAAAGTGTTTGAACATGGTTCAACTCTCCATGACGTTGACTTCACAACACGTTTCGTTATCTTTTTTCAGTCCATGGTGTAACACGACGTTCCAATGTTCCTGTAAATTTAAATAAATAATACTTAGTAAAATATATATATTAAATATGATAAGTTACGAATTTAAAGAAATAATACATGCATGGTTTCTTTTCTTATAGTACCACTGTTGAATAAAGGCTCGAAAAAACTCCATTAACATAGTAATGGGTAATTTTCGGGAATGACGACTTAGAGCGTTGATTGATTCTGCACTATTAGACGTCATGAAACCATGTATTGCTCCAAGTTGATGTACTCTTGACCATCTTTCAAACCCGACATCTTCTAGTGTTTGAGAACATTGAGGCAAAACACATCTTAAACAATCTATATGCTTATTAAAATCCACTTCCCGATAAGCTTTTTACAGCCTTTCAGTATGTCCATTTGTGATTTTTTATACCAGCACACCTTGATTTTAGATTTCTGTACAAATTAACACCACAAAGTCCATGAAAAGCATCTGAGAAACACCTTCTAACAGCGTTGTCAATTGAGTTTGCCCTATCAGATATGATTGTCAGATTGCTAATATGACCTATGCAATCCCTAAGATGTCCCAAAAACCATGTCCATGAAATAGAGGTTTCAGATTTGCCAACCCCGTAAGCTATTGGCAATATCCCATTGTTAGCATCCATGGCTACTGCTAATAAGTTTACTCCAAGGTATCGACCTTTCAATTGTGCTCCGTCAACTATAATAACTGGGCGCATGCAAGTAATAAACGAACGAATCTACAAAATAATATACACAAGAAATATAATCATTTAAATGTGAAATGCATTTAACTAACAAAAATGAGTCAACAAAATTATATTGATTTACTAACCGCAGCACCAATGGCGATAAACAACAACTCAAAGCATCCATCTCTATCTGTTTTGATATGAGTTACCGACCCAGGATTTTTCAGCTTTAAATTGTGACAATAAGCCGGCAGTTGGGCAAACGATGCTTCTGGCGACCCCTCAACAATTCCAAGGCATAACATTTGGCTCTCCAAGCTTGAGAATATGAGATACTAATCTTGAACCGAGTATTCATGTCAGTCATAATTTCATGTCCCCGATATACCCTGCCATTCAAAAACATTAACTCAGCCAGAAAACCACCCAACACCTTTTTGTTTGCCTGTCTATGGTGAGGAAAAACTTGGGTTCTTGAACATGTATGTTTATCAATAAAATTCCTAACTTGAAACATTTCGCAATCTTTTATCCTCTTTGCAATCATACGACACGTACAGTTTTTGTAAATCATACACCTTGTTTCGAAACGATCTTTGCTTGATTTGTTAACTTTTAGTTGATAGCCATCTTCTACACATTTCGTATACTAAGCTATCTTCAAGTCTTCCTTTGTATCAAAATAATCATCTTTCTTGATACGAATAACTTTTATGTAACAATCAACTGTTAACTTTACCAACTCTTCTTCTGGTATCTAAAGTAATTCTGGCATATTCAGTTATACTCTCGTGGCATTTTCTTCTTTTTCTTTTCTTCGGGGACTTCTTTTTCTTCTTTTTCTTTTTCAGGGTTATATGAATTACAGAATGGATGTTCAACATGTTCATTCACAGTCGTAGCTTCCTCCTCATTATCATCAACAATATCTTCCTCGGCAGCTGCTGTTTCATCATCAAAATTCGGGTATTGACCAATATCAAAATCATTACATACATGGTTTGTTTCTTCTTCTGAAACATCATTAAAATCTGAGTATTGACCAAGATCAAAGTTCGGGTATTGACCAAGATCAAATTTCGAATACTGACTAGTACTCACAATTTTTTATGTTGGCTCATCATCGTCTAACTGGTCAATACAAAAATCGGAATTTGGTGCTGAAAGTTGATTGGGATTTGGATTAGGAAAAGGTTGTGGGTTTTGAGATTGTGTTTGATGTTGTGTTTGGTATTGGAAATGTGGTGAAACAAAATTTTCTTGGTGATGAAATTGTGGTCGAACCATTAAATTTTGAGATTAATAATAATGTTGTACATTGTGAGCACCATAAACTGGGGTTGAAGAATTTAGTTGATTACTACCCGCTAGTGACCCAACTTCACTACTTCTAGGTTCAACAACATACAATGTAACATCATCTTCTTGTGAAACACTAATGTAAGCAATGAATCGTTCAACATCTTCATTGTCGGATAACAAATAAACTTTACCTTTTCTCTGATAAGATAGCCTAAATACACTTAGAGGCTCTAAATTCAATTTCTTTGCAACACGTAACATTAGAGTTTCATAAGTTAACTTTTTTAATGACAATTTTAGTTGAAGATTCATGGGTAAAGGCATATATCATAAAACACCATGAACATTCTCCCATGACCCTCCAAAACACAAATCTATCCAAACATGATCAACATTATATGATTTCATTCTACAAATTGTAAATTAATTTACTAAACAAACGAGCTATAAACTACATATCATCACTAACTTAGAGAATAACATACCTTTATTAAGTTGATAGTTGATAATTTGAGAGAGAAATCATTGAAAAATTATATATAAATAAAATTATGAAAAAAAAATTAGAGAGGGGAATGATATCGTTGGATATAGGAACGGATGTCTCCGGAGAGAGTGATAGATGGAGATGGAATGAGTTGCGATATAGGGATTTAGGTTATGAGTTGCTGCTGCTGCGTAGTTATATACCCAAAACATTTGTGTTGCGAAAATAAAACCTGTTGCGAAATTAAAATTCGTGTTGCGAATTCGAAAATCGAGTTGCGAATTCAGAAATCGAGTTGCGAATTTGAAATTCAGTGTTACGAATTTGTAAATCGCAGCGCGAATTTGTAAATCACGTTGCGAATTTGACTTATGTGTTGCGATTTACAGATTCGCGTTGCGAATTTGGAAACTGAGTTGCGAAATTGGAGTTCGCGTTGCGAATTTGTTGGTCATTTTCGCAAATCCAAAAAAAAGTTGGTTAAAATCATATATTATAAGGCATTTTCGGCCACTGAAGTTATTTTATCTAAATTATAAGATTTTAGTTGGTTTATGCTTGTTGTAGTGTAAATTACGAACCTTTATGAGTGTCGAGTATTGTCACTTTGTTTAGGAATCTAACTGAGCATTTCTGTCATTTCTGTATATAGTCATAACAAATTGACAACATGATTTTCAGCTCAAGTTTGAATGGAAACCCCCAAAGATTAAGCTCAAGTTGACAATATGACATGCTTGCAGGATCTGAATGATGATGTTAATCGAGATATATGCTACTTGCACTCGGGTGAGTTTTAAATGCAGGTATGTTTTTGGAAAGGGTATTTTGTATATTTGCTAAGTTTTTCTATATATTTAGATGGTCATATTCATGTTTGGAAGAACCGGCAATTCTAAGGTGTTTCCTATTAATGCATTGTTCTGGAGATTTGGAGCTTCAAAGAAGCCTAAAGAAGCTGCTGAGTGAGTTCATCATCCAAGAATTGAAGACCCAAATGTTTCATAAACAAAGATAGTGGCTTGGCCTCAAATCTTTTGTTACTTGTGAAATCAAAACAATAAACAAGTTTTTGATCATGTAAAAATGATCCCTGAATACAATTGTTGAAAATCTTCATAAATTGATCATTATTCAACTTGACCAATTACCAGCATTTTAATCTTAAATTAAAATCTAAACCAATCTATATACTTTAACACAACTCTTGTCTGAATGAAGAGGGTCTCTGTCTTCAGCCACGTCTACAAGCCCATGGCTTTTGTTTTGTGCAACACCCAAGTCTGGACCAGCCCACACGTTAGGACCTTATAAAGATGACATAGGCCAATTCATGATTCAGTTGGGAACCAACTAAACATCCCACACCAGCTAGAGAAACAGAAAACGAATAGTTTATATGCACCAAGCAGCCGTCTCATAATTGTCCCTTCGGGACATCCGATAAAATTGGAACGATACAGAGAAGATTAGCATGGCCCCTGCGTAAGGATGACGCGCACAAATCAAGAAATGGTCCAAATTTTTTTCTCATTTTTTGGTGGCCTGTTTCTCGATTTCCTTTCCTGCTAGTCTGTTTCCATCTCTTTATCTGACCATTTTCTTTGCGTTTTTGTGCTTAGTTTGATGTTCGATTTCATGGGTTTTGCTCAATCTGGGTTTGGTTTTTTTAACTATCGTGAACAGTGAGTATGATTCAGACATTTATTGTTAGTGATTTGAGATAGTTTGTTGATTTAGCTCATGGGTTTTCATCGTAGGTTCAAAATAATTATACAACTTTGATTGCTGGTAACTAGTAGTGATTATAGATTACTTGAGCTTGGCTATGTTTAATGGAGGCTTTCATTCTTGCAGTGTTCATAGTTGATTTCTTTATAAATAGAAAGGTCTTGGATGCTTGTTGCTGGAGAATGTGATGTTGACCAGAATTTCTATACATAATGTGCTAAAAGTCCGTAGTCATCAGTGATAACCTTGTGGTTTATTTACCAAATTCGGAGTACACAAACGCTGTAGGATGAATTGAAATTTGGTAGCCATTGAGGAACGAATTTGAATATAAAGCTAAAAATTTACCTGTAGGTGATATACTGAAGGGGTCAGTTTGTCCCTTCAAGAAATTCTCAGTCTGTCCTGACCTAATTTAGCTTCAGCATTTAGTCTTTTTGCTTTCTTATTATATAGAGGCCTTGTTCAGTGTGATATGAACTAATTCAGCTTCAGGTTTTACTTGGAATCTAACCAAATACCCTATATCCATTTGAATCAGATTAAGATACCAGCATACATTGTAGATCAGCGTGATGGAAAATCGATGAAGCGGCCCAAACATATCTTTTACTATTTTCTCTTGTGAACATTTTGCAGGTCAGTTTCCATTTGTATGCTTAGTTTGATGTTCATCTTAATTGAGAGTTAAAATCATATCCATAAAAGAATCTATTCATGATTGGGTTATGGAATCAATTTGATCAAACAATTTCCCTTGTTAATCTTGGTTGGTCAATTGAGTAACAGAAAATCATGGTTTTGAAAATGATATAGAGATCTTTTTTACCATTAAATTATAAGATTTTAGCTGGTTTATGCTTGCTGCAGTGTAAAATACGAACCTCTATGAGTGTCGAGTATTGTCGCTTTGTTTAGGAATCTAACTGAGCATTTCTGTCATTTCTGTATATAGTCATAACAAATTGACAACATGATTTTCAGCTCAAGTTTTAATGGAAGCCCCTAAAGATTAAGCTCAAGTTGACAATATGACATGCTTGCAGGATCTGAATGATGATGTTAATCGAGACATATGCTACTTGCACTAGGGTGAGTGTTAGATGCAGGTATGTTTTTGGAAAGGGTATTTTGTATATTTGCTAAGTTTTCTGTATATTTAAATGGTCATATTCATGTTTGGAAGAATCAGCAATTCTAAGGTGTTTCCTATTAATGCATTTTTCTGGAGATTTAGAGCTTCAAAGAAGCCTAAAGAAGTTGCTGAGTGAGTTCATCCAAGAATTGAAGACCCAAATGTGTCATAAACAAAGATAGTGGCTTGTCCTCAAATCTTTTGTTACTTGTGAAATCAAAACAATAAACAAGTTTTTGATCATGTAAAAATGAGTACATCCCTGAATACAATTGTTGAAAATCTTCATAAATTGATCATTATTCAACTTGACCAATTACCAGCATTTTAATCTTAAAGTAAAATCTAAACCAATCTATATACTTTAACACAATTCTTGTCTGAATGAAGAGGGTCTCTGTCTTCAGCCACGTCTACAAGCCCATGGCTTTTGTTTTGTGCAACACCCAAGTCTGGGCCAACCCACACGTTAGGACCTTATAAAGATGACATAGGCCAATTCATGATTAAGTTGGGAACCAACTAAATATCCCACATCAGCTAGAGAAAGAAAAAACGAATAGTTTATAAACACAAGGAAGCCACTCCAGATCGTCCCCTCGGGGACATCCGATAAAATTGGAACGATACAGAGAAGATTAGCATGGCCCCTGCGCAAGGATGACACGCACAAATCGAGAAATGGTCCAAATTTTTTCCTTCTTTTTTCCTTGATTTTCTTTTCTGCTGGTCTGTTTTCGTCTCTTTCTCTGACCATTTTCTTTGCGTTTTTGTGCTTAGATTGATGTTCGATTTCATGGGTTTTGCTCAATCTGGGTTTGTTTTTTTAACTATCATGAACAGTGAGTATGATTTAGACATTTATTGTTAGTGATTTGTGATAGTTTGTTGATTTAGCTAGTGGGTTTTCATTGTAGGTTTAAAATAATTATACAACTTTGATTGCTGGTAACTAGTAGTGATTATAGATTACTTGAGCTTGGCTATGTTTAATGGAGGCTTTCATTCTTGCAGTGTTCATAGTTGATTTCTTTATAAATAGATCAAATAGTTTCCCTTGAGGCCAATTACAATTTTTACTGGTCATTGTGTTCATGAGTAGAATTTGTATACTAATATGCTAAAAATTTTGCATCCATCAGTGATAACCTTCTGGTTTCACCAGAATTGAAGGGCCAAATGCTGCAGGATGAATTTGGAATTTGGCACCATTGAGGAATGCGTTTGAATTGAAAGGTCAAAGTTCACCTGCAGTTGAGTTGCTGAAAGAGGTTAGAATGGCCACAATTTCATGTACTTGTCTTGCTAATTCAGACTCTAATGACTGCCAGCTTGTCACTTTGAATGCATAAAGGTTGTCCCTTCCAAGAAATTCTCAATGTGACCTGAACTAATTCAGCAGCCTAACTTTCTTCTCTCATCAGTACTGGCAATGATACACAAATCAAACTCCCTTTTCCTTTTACTTTTTCCAAGGTTTTTTTATCTGCGGCAGTTTAATGACTTTGCACCAGCGGTAACATCCTGCAGATGAACTAGTAATGGCATATATTTTCCATGTATTATCTTAATCTATTTTTTCTCAAGGCTCCAAAGTTCAATGTCGTTTCATTGTTCGGTATCTTTTAGTCTATCAACCATGTATGGTAACAGTATTTCAATGCTTGTTCCTGGGAATTGAAACAGAAAAAAAAATACATTAGGATTCTTGTGAAACTGAAGAGTTATTATTATATTAGTATAGATAGTAAACCAATCTTCTTAATTTCTCTAATAAGAATTACAATAAGAAGTACAACACATAGGGTTTAACCAACATATGAGAACATATTTAGTTGTAGCACTGAAGGTGCCACTCTTGCGACTCCTTTGTTTATATCAGTGCAATGCAATGCAATGCAAAGCATGAAGTTTTCTAGTCCAAGAAAAATAGTAATAGCTAACTCTACTTTTGCATAGAATTCTTCAACAGTAAACAACTTCAAGTACAGGACGTTTTCAGATGAAGTAAAATTTTGATTGTGTCATCCATCAATAGGAATTTCAATGCCGTTTCTGGGTTTTTTTTAGCAAAGGCATACTTACATTTATAAGGTAAAGATTACAGCCAAAATGATCAATTGCAGCAAGAAACTTACAAGAATGGCAAGGAAGTGGCAGAAAATAACTGTCAAGGGGAGAAAAAGAATTTTTTTTTACTGGGGACGTCCAGTGCAAATGTTATAGCAGGTGAGTTGGTGAATCTTCGGTGGCTGAAAAGGTCATTTTGTCATCTACACCACAGATCAGAAGCACCATGTCATGCCCTAGTCATATCTCAGCAATAACATATTTGTTGAACTCTTAAAGTTGTTTGATGAAGAGTTTGGTCTATCAAGTCATGGTCCTATAATATTGCCCTTAGATTCATTCTTCTTCAAGTACACAGTCTTCATTGTTCATCTTGTGACTCATGGTTTATTTTGTATAAGACAACTAGTAGGACGATGTTCTCTTTACATTCAAACTCCATGTGCCAATAGCAAAAACTAGTAGGACGATCAAAATATGATGTATGTCTCTCCTATCATCACATGGTTTTGCATTCATTGAGAGCTACATTGATGAGATTGCCCCCATGGATAAGTGACAGGAAGGTCATGAAATTGATTGGATTTGAACAGAGACAAGGTACAGGTGGCAATTTGCTTGAGTGAAGGCTTCTTATTAATATTTAAAGTAATCAATATTATTGCAACACTGGATCATATTGTTACACCACTTGGCAGATGGATAAAGATGTGCCAGCAGGCACTGGTATGCTCCATCTTGTTGGAACTAATCATCCAATAAAAGCAGGTAATCCCCCCTTGCAGATTAGACCTAATATGACATCACATGGCTTTGTTTCTAATGAATACCTGAAATTTAATAATGCATTAAAGGCACTGTCTCTAGACCTTGTGATTATATATTGATCCCAATTCCATTGCCTCATATGAAGCACAACAGCTTCATTTAGCAATTAGAGTTCTAAGACCTAAAACTTCCTTCTTCTTTTTTCTATTTCATCCGAGTCTTTCCAATTACACAAAGTAAAACAAGATGATCAGTGCCAATAAGCTTATCAAATTAGCAAGAAAATGGCAATAGATAGCTTCAATTAGGAGAAAAAGAATCACATTACTAGGAACCACCGGAGACGGTGAAACAACCAGTTGCAACACATCATTGATGGTTGACAAGGGTCACTTTGTCGTATACAGCGTAGATCAGAAGCATTTTGTGCTTCCTTTGGAATACCTAAAGAACAAAATTGTAATGGTGCTGTTCAATTTGGATGAATAAGAGTTTGGACTTCCAAGGAATGTGCATCTCATCATGCCTTGTGATGCAACCTTTATGGAATAGTTAATTGATCTAATAAAAAAAAAACCGAGTAAAGAAATGGAGAAAACATTGATCGTGTCCATAAGCACCGGCCATTGCTCATCATCATATCTTTATCAGCAAGAAATGAGCCAACAATTTTCGATATACAGCTTCTGAGGCATTTCTCCCTATTCCTTCAAATCTTGTAATTGATCCACACCTTTTGAAGATACTAATTTTTTATCCATATTATTATTATTATTATTATTATTATTATTAGTATTATTATTATTATTATTATTATTATTATTATTATTATCATTATTATTATTATTATTATTAAATATATATTAAATATATATATAAATAATTAATTACAGGTCAATTACAAATGGACCGGCCCAGTTACAAACAAACCAGAACCGGTCCAGAACAAACCAGAAACCCTAAACATTTGGGGGTTTCCATTAGGGTTTCCTAACCCTAATCTAGCCGGCCGCCTCATCACAGCCGTTGGATCTAAGAGATCCAACGGTCCAGATTGCCCCAGATGGAAACCCTAGGGTCGGATACCCTAGGGACACGCGGCCGCCGCTGCTATCTCGCCGCTGCTATCTCGCCGCTGCCACGTCCCAACCGAAGGCTCCAGAAGCTCCAACGCCAGCCGTCCACGCCATGGCTACGGGGTGAGTCACCACTGGTAGTCCGGTGACTCACCGAGACCCCATCTTCGGACCGGTCCGATGGCCACACCGGTGGTGGCTATAAAAGCCACCACCCCAACCTGAAAAAAAAACGGAGACAGAAAAAAAACGGAGAGACAGAGAACACAGAGAGACAGAGAAAAAAAAAACAGAGAAAAAAAAAGATATACTAAAAAATATACCAACGATCTCAGTCAACATCAACGCAGCAAGAAAAAAAAAGGAGAGAAGAGAGGAAAGAAGCTTACTCTGTCATCGGAGAACCCCAACCGTCGCCGGATACAACGAAAACCGAAGGTATTTTTGTAGATCTGCTCCGATTGGGAGCTTTTTAAGGAAAAAGAACACCGGAAACGGTTTTAGACCGTCCCGATCTATATTTTGGTGGATTTTTGTAATTTCCGGCCACCATTAACGGTGGCCGGCAGCGGTGGTCGGAGCCCGGTAGCGGTGGCTGACCGGGATGGCTTCTCTCAGTTTAGAGAGAAGCCAGAGAACTCTTCTCTCTCTGTTTGAGAGAGAAAGAAAAAAAAAAAGAAATGAGATAGCTGGCCCGAAGGGCCAGCCGGTTTGGGCATTAAATAGCCCTTCCCAAACGACGCCGTTTTGGGGAGGGCTATTTGTGTAATTTTATAAATGTTAAACCCTTTCCGTAATCCCTATGTTTTATATGTTTTACATTTTAGTCATTAAATTGAATTTATAATATTTTTAATTCAGTCTTCGAATTTTAATTTCTTTTATTTTAATCCTTTATATTAAAATAATATATTTAGGATAAATAACAGATTTAATCCCTTAATTTTAATAAATAATATTTTAATCCTTAGTTTATATTTTTAATTTATTTTATTCTAATATCCGAATTTTAGATAATTTTAT